TTCATTCCCTATCATCTAATTTTAATTTATTGTAACTTGATTACTTCCAAGCTCACTTTTATATTTATTTTTAAAAATTTTATTATTAACGTAAGAAATATTGACTTATTTTTTAAATGATAATTAAAATTTGAGAATAATATAAGATTATGAAAAGATAAAATGATAATTTTTAGTATATATTTATGAGGTAACATTTGGTAATTTTTATAAGTCAATTTTTTTTATTATAAATGTGGGACTCATTAACGGAGCGACTTCTTCTAACATTTTGAATCCGTTCGAAGCCAAGTACTTCGGATCTCTAGATTCGTGGATCCGAATCCTTTCGAGTCCGAGTGCCTCGGATCTCTAGGCTTGCTTAATACCCTTTCGAGTCCGGGCCCGAGTAAGTCTCTAGGTTCGCGGATCCGAACCCTTTCGAGGCTTAGAGCGATTCAATCCGTTTGATGGCGATAAATCTGGGCCCACCGATTCTTAGACTTGCGATAAATTCGGGCTCACTAATCTTGGGCTATTGGGCCTAAATAATGTTAGTGGGCTCAAATTAGCCCCTCTTACATGATGATTTCTTAATCTCTCCTTACGAGCTTATGTTTTCCTTCACTTCGTGTTTTATTTTGTTCTGTTTTGCCTTCTATTATTTGTCGTCGTCTTCTTCTTTTTTTAACTCTTTCCTTGGGTACAATTTGGTACAAATGGTGGCTTCATCTTATTGTTGCCTCATTGATGAGTGTTCGTGTGACCATTCATCATTTTCATCAGCAACCACTCATCTATAGCCTGAATATGTAACTGTCAATTTTTCTTCTTTGATTAGATTTTATTATTTCAAAAATGTGTTCATGTGGGATGTCTACAACCAAGATTGTGTGCCTAGGATTGACATTTATCCCTTTTAAAATTATCATTTTGTTGTATATTTTCCTTGGAATTGCATGTCCATATAGTTCCTGCTTGAAGGTTGAACTAGGATTGACAACCCCAGCCTAAGCGAATGAAGTCCACAGGTGAGCAGTGTACCATAACCCCCATCTTTGACCTATGCATATTTCATACCATATTAGACCTTTCCCACTTCTAAAGATCTAAATTTCATGAAGAACACAAAATTTACGTAGTTTATCCCAAAATGTAGGATTATATCCACAATTACTTTCAAAGTTGCAAGAGATTACTGGGATAGTCATCTTTTCTCCTACTTTTAAATATATTGAAATTAGGGCAACATGTCACAATTGTGAAATGCAACAAATACCCTTACTTCAAAATACAGTCGAGTTATTAGTGTTCAGTATTTATCAAGATCCACACTAGTTCCAATATTTTCAAAAGTTGAAAATATTTTCTACCCTAATAAGTTTGTTTTCCATAAAAAAATGGAAAAGCGACACCCAATTAATTTTTACTAAATGAGTGTTTGAGAGTAGTTAGATTAGATATATATACCCAAATTACGGTTTTCTGTTGATATTTATTTTCTATAGGGCCAAACATCAAAAAATGAATATATATATATATATATATTTACGGTAACAAAGACACGTACAATTGGGGCTGGATCTTCTGTCCCAATATTGCGTCCTGTCTCTGAGTGCCCGTCCTCTTATATTGCCACGTCTCTCTCTCTCTCTCTCCCCAATGGATCACATGACTGGTTCATCTCAGATCTGGATACCGGCGACCTCACATCGTCACCGTCGATTGCTTCCTGCCTGATGCAGGATGTGGTATTCAGACTATTGTCCCTTCTTTGAAACTTGTTTATCTGTCGAAACGACCTTGTAAAAAGAGTATTAGATTGTCAAAAAAATTTCTGCTAGATCTCATTGATGAGTTTTATGTTGTGGATTTTCATCATTGCCTTTGTAAAAGTAGTCCTTTGAAATTCGTTCACCTATCAAGCCTTGCACAGAATTTGACATCAAAACTATTATTGAACCAGATCTCTGAAATTGCACCGAACATTTTGCGAGAGTGATAGATATGTAGTCATATATATGTATATTTAGATTCAATACTCCAATCAAGTTTTCCTCTTTTCTTTTTATCCTATTCGTAAACCCCCTGTTTACTCACAAACATAAATTGCTAATTTTGAATTATTGTTTAAGAATTCTTGTGCGGCTGAAATTTGTGTTTGGCGATTGTTATCTAATTTATCTATCTAAAGAGGATTACATGATGACAAAGAAGATGACTTGATTCAGGTTGCAAAGAATGGACTATCATGAAGAGAGAGAGAGACTTAACAGAGTTAGGAATTAGCTTTAGTGATGGACACGTGTAAGCACAAAAGTAAGAGGACAGGGAGTTGGGACACACAACTGGGACAGACGATCGAGTCCATATCCTCTACTTGAATTTCTCTACTTGACTCCCTACTTAACAGGCTATTGGGTTTACTTTTGAGTTTAATTTCGATAATCTGAACAGTTTACATTTTAAAATTTGTTGAGTATATCACACTTTTATGAAAAATCAAGTTGATCGAATATCGAAAATCACGTGTTCATATCATCGGACGAAAAATCGTTTATTAAATTTTTTTTTTAATAAACGATATTCATTCTTTGTTTTGACTATATTATATATCAACAATATGTTCATGTGAGATGTTCCAACTAAGATTGCGTGGTTGTTGGAGAATATACCAGTGTGATACTTTTGTATTTATTGACTTCCTATTTTGTTAGCAGTCCTTATTTAAGATTTTATTATGTTTGATTATATTATATATCAACAATGTGTTCATGCGAGATGGTCCAACTAAGGGGTTGTTTGGGATGATCTAAATAAGTGTACTTTTTGATTTTTTATGAAATATGGATTGGGTATGGATTAGGTTTGAAGTGATGTATTAGAGAGGTAATGTGACTTAAATAAGATAATGTGACTTCAATAGGATAGTGACTTTTTGACTTTTTTAGATCATGCCAAACAAGACCTAAGATTGTGTGGTGGTTGTATCATTTTGACACTTTTGTATTTACTAACCTCCTATTTTGTTGACAATCCTTATTTAAGATTTTATGACAAATGTATATGATGTGTCAAAATATTTGTGAAAGTCAAAATTTAGTATTAGACTTGTCTCACGTCCTCTTCCTAAGCCATCCAAGCTTGACGAATTTTTATGTCTTACATGGAGAGGTTAGTGATATTCTACATATATTTATTGATGATACTGGTCTTTCCGTACCCACACAAAAAATAAATAAATAAATAAATAAAAATAAAGATACCGGTCTTTCTTGGGCCACTCTGAACATTAATTTCTGTCCTTTTGCCGTCTTTTGACCTTTACCCAAGTCTTCGATCTTGATATGGGTTCATTTTGGTCATTAATTTTTAAGGCTTCATGTGTTTCAATGTAAAATATTCTATTAAAAAAAAATGTTTTTCTTGTAAATTAATTTTATATAAAAAAAAATTAAGTTTTATTTGTTGGCATTTGATTGACATTTGAAATAAAAACATTTTATTATTTAAAAGAGAAATTTAAATTTAATAAAGTGTCATTTATAACTTTTTAGCAAATTAAAATATTTATTTGAAAAGACTAAATGTGTTAGAAAGGTAGTGAACAAGAGTCAACTTTGTAAAAATTGATTTAGGAAAGTTTAAATGGTAAGTTATTTTTGAGAAAATAATGCAAACATATTTTTCTTAAAAAAATGTTTTACTTGATTTTGTTCAACCAAATAACGGAAAATGAGTAAAATATTTTTGCGTCAACAAATGGAGCCTTAGTGTCTTTTAATGGATTATTGGGAAAATTATTTTAAAAAAATAGGATTGGTCCCTTATAATAAAATAAAATTTTTAATTTTATCAATTTAAATTTTAATATTTTAATACTCTTTTTTCATCAATTTTATTGAACGAAAATAAGCAAATCGTATAAATTGAAAACAAATCAAAATATCGGGATTTAAATTGATAACATTAAAAATTTAGAGTTTATTTTGTTATAATGGTCAAATTTTTTTAATAATTTCTTTTAAATTATTTATATAAAAATTCAAGTTAATGTTGAGTATAATCAAACATTCAATCCTACCTTATATACTAACTTGATGAAATAATCCATTCATCTATTACAACAAAAATCATGTCAAAGTGGCTTACCGTGCTCTGCACTGCCCTTGTGTGGTGTTGCTATTTCTGCAGTATCCCTGCTTCCACTTCTACGGCAAATAATGAGACAGATAGAGTTGCATTGCTCGCCTTCAAGGCTGCAATTGTTGAAGACCCATTTGGTGCCCTCTCTTCCTGGAATCATTCACTCCACTTCTGTCTCTGGAACGGCATTTTGTGTAGTCGCCGACATCCTGATAGAGTTATTGGGCTAAACCTAACGTCCCAAGGCCTGGTTGGATTGCTCTCACCTCATATAGGAAACCTCTCCTTTCTCAAAAGTATCATTCTTCACAACAATAGCTTCCACGGCCCAATCCCACAGGAGATGGGTCGCTTGTTTGGGCTACAAACAATAGAATTCAGCTACAATTTGCTGGGCGGTGGAATACCCAACAACCTTTCTCGCTGCTCAAGACTTGAATGGCTCAACTTCACCCACAACAACCTAACCGGAAACATTCCCGCCGAGTTTGGCTATTTATCAAGGCTTCGAACATTAGCCTTGAATACAAACAAGCTTTCAGGTACAATCCCTCCTTTCATTGGAAACCTCTCATCTCTTTCCATTCTCTCTTTAGGGGAATGTAATTTGCATGGGAAGATTCCGGCGGAAATTGCTAGGCTTCAAGGCCTGATAGGTGTCTGGTTAAGGTGGAATAACCTATTTGGCAAGGTTCCATCTGGCCTTTACAATATCTCCAACATCATTTTGTTGTCAGTAAGTTTTAACCAACTTGAAGGAAATATTCCTCCTGATATAGGCTCCACACTTCCTAATCTTAAGTTTCTTTATTTTTCGAGAAATTTGTTTACTGGAACACTTCCTACTTCACTGTCAAACGCTTCAGAACTTGAAGATATATTCTTCGGTGCAAACGATTTCAGCGGAACAATGCCGAGAGATATCGGAAAACTTCTGGGTCTTCGAAGGATAGTTGTTTATCAAAATCAGTTGCAGGATGACCTCACTTTTATTTCATCTCTAACAAATTGCACCAGTTTAAAAGCTATTGTTGCACGTAACAATCTTTTTAGAGGATCATTGCCTGACTCCATAGCTAATCTCTCCACGTATCTTGGCTGGATAGATATGAGGTTTAATCAAATACATGGAAGCATTCCTTCGGGCATCGGGAACCTCCTCAACCTCACTCTCTTATCTATGGCACTAAACAATCTTGTTGGCCCTATTCCTTCCTCCATCGGCGGACTTCATAAGCTGCAAGTTCTGATACTAGACCGGAACAAATTCACGGAAGTTCCATCTTCGATTGGTAATTTGACTTCGTTGATTACTCTCAACTTGGGAGAAAACAACATCCATGGAGGCATACCTCCCACTTTGGGCAATTGTCATAGCTTGTTGGAATTAGACCTTTATAAAAATAATTTCAATGGTTCAATACCCCTTGAAATTATGAGTCTCTCCTCCATTTCAACATCCCTCACGTTAGATCACAATGCACTAACCGGTTTTCTTCCATCAGAAATCGGGTTTTTGAAAAACCTTGCAAACATGGATGTGTCCTATAATAAATTATCAGGACCCATACCAAACACTCTAAGCAATTGTTTGAGTCTGGAATGGCTTCACTTGGAGGCTAATTCATTCGAGGGAGAGATACCTCAAAGTTTAAGATTGATAAGGGGTTTAAGAGTATTGGATCTTTCGCATAACAATTTGTCGGGGCTGATCCCAAGTTATCTAGGTGAGCTTCAACTAGATATGTTGAATTTGTCTTTTAATATGCTACATGGACAAGTTCCCATACAAGGAGTGTTTCAAAATTCAAGTGCAATTTCAATTGTTGGAAATAATGAGCTATGTGGAGGTATTGCAAAATTAGACCTTCCTCCTTGTCCCTCATTCAAATCAAGCAAGAATAAGCTTTCTCACAGGACGAAAATGATTCTACTGGTGGTTGGTCTTGTGATATTTTTATCTTTGTTTGTTAGCTTCTTCATATTTCTTCAACGGCATCATTTTTCAAAAAAGAAGGCCTCTTCCACTCCATCAATCAAACATCAATTTTTGAGGGTTTCTTATGCAGAGCTTCTCAAAGCCACCAATGGATTCTCAGAAGCTAATTTAATTGGTGTTGGGAGCTATGCTTCAGTTTTCAAAGGGATTCTTGATCAAGTTCAGATGGTTGTGGCAGTGAAAGTGCTCAATCTTCAGACCAGAGGAGCTTCTAAGAGCTTCATGTCAGAATGCAAGGCACTAAGAGCCATAAGGCACCGAAATCTATTGAAAATTTTGACCATTTGTTCCAGTGTGGATTTCCATGGTAATGAATTCAAAGCTCTGGTATATGAATTTATGGCCAATGGAAACTTGGGCAATTGGTTGCATCAAGTCGGAGTTGGAGACCATGAGCAGCTAGAAGAACGTAGAAATCTTAAACTAATCCAAAGGCTCGACATTTCTACTGATATTGCCTCTGCATTACAATATCTTCATTGTGGTTGTGAGTCGACAATTATTCATGGTGATCTAAAGCCAAGTAATGTTCTTTTGGATGATGAGATGATGGCTCATATTGGAGATTTTGGGTTAGCAAAAATTATTTCTACTGTTTCAAGTGATGTGGCACAAGTTCAAAGCAATTCAGTTGCGATAAGGGGAACCATAGGCTATGTTGCTCCAGGTACGAAATCTTTTCAATTTCCTCGGAGTAGAAAAACAGAAAAACAGAACTTGCAATAGGAAAAGTAATAATATATATACACACACTTGCATATAAATACACCTTGCATGGTAGAGTAATTTCAGCATAAACAACCATACAAAGAACCATGGCTTTCTACAAAATAGTGGTCTCCTACATATTTGTAAGCATTGCTTTTATACAGATTCCGTGCCATTTTTGAATGCTCCAAATGAGTGCTTCCACCTCCTCACTATTAAGAAACCAAGTGCTAAGTTTATTTTTGTTAATGTGGGCATGCTTAATCTCAGTGTAAATATTGCCATTCAATTTCAAGTTTACTTTGTTTAATGTGGCCATGCTTGAACTTGGCTGTAGAATACCTTAGTTAAACCTCTATGCTGCCTTTGTTTTTTATTTTTTTTAACTCTTCCTTCTGTAATTCTAGTATGAAATTTTACTCTAATCAAAATAGTCCTGGTATCTAAAGAAGTAATACACCAGTTTGCAAACAAAACATTTTCCAAAATCTTACTCAATGCTTGGAAACTTGTATAGTTGATTCTGACAGAACTGTCCATCCAAGACTTATTTTTGTTTGCCTCAATAACATTACAATTTACTATGTCGTTTTGAACAATAAACTTTCTCAGTCACTTGCACACAAACAAAAATATTGAAGTAATCCAGAAGCTGAAGTAAAAAATTGCTCCAGGTACAAAATCTTTTCAATTTCCTTGGAGTAGAAAAACTAAACTTGCAATAGGAAAAGTAATAATATATACTCACACATACCCATATATATATACTACAAGAATTTACACTTTCGGCGACAAAATTTTTAGTCGCCAAAAGTCTTTAGCGACTGAATATTTTGGTCACAAGAGTAGTCGCTGAAGCATTGCCGGGAAGATAATTGGGGACTAAAATTATTTTAGTCGCCAAAAGTAATGCAATGCCGACTATTTTTTTCATTGCCAAAAGTATTGGAAAAAAAATTAAATATAACCTTTTTAGCAACTAAAAATATTTTTCGTGAAAAACGTTGCTTATATTTAGCTACTAAAGATTTAGTCGCCAAATTTTTTTTTGGTTTCTCCTATTATTTTTGTAGTTACTGCATATATTAGTCGCGTGTTTTAGCTACTAAACGTTAAATCGCCTAAAGTGTCACAGTTTTCGCTACTAAAATTGTAGTCGGCAAAAGTGTTTTTCTTGTTCATCAAAATTTTTTTGGCTACAAAATATTTTAGTCGCCAAATGTTAGATTGTTTTTGGCTACTAACATCTTAGTTGCCTAAAGTCTGGTTTTCTTTTTGCCTACCAATTTTTTAGTCGCTAAAAGGATGACTTTTTTGGCTCCTAAGCTTTTAGTAGCTAAATAGTTTGTTTTTTGCCTACTAAATATTTAGTTGGCAAATGTTTTTTTGTTTTTTCGGCTACAAAATATTTTAGTCGCCAAATGGAAATTATGTTTTCTATTTTAGTCGTCTAATGTCTGCTTTTTGTCGGCACTACTAAGCTTTGTAGTCGCCATAATTGTTTTCCAAAATTTGTTATTAAGTTTTAGCTACTAACATTTTAATCACTAAAATATGTACTTCCCATTTGAGTACGAATTGTTTAGTCGCCAAAAAAATGATCTTATGTTTTATCAGAAAATTGCAATTTATCCACAACCGGTCTATATTCTGTGCAACCTGTAGTATGTATATAACCAAAACAACACATATTTTATCAATCATTCTCCAATGTAAAATTATCAATCATTCCACAATCCATATTACTTCCAACCATCCAAAATTGAATAACTTTAAATGTATATACTTCATACAAACCAACTATTGTCCAAACTAAAATTATAATTCCATACAAAATCCAACCCTCCATATACAAAAAATCTATTTAGTACCATGCAATATGGCCATTTGGCTTGGTACAAATTACAATTGTAAACTGCACCACGACAAAAGATGATCTATATGCCACGCTAGCAACTATCAGTTGGATTACAAAAGTTATATGTATCAATAATGCTAAACTACACAAAAGCAGAGGAACACATAAACAAAAATGTTTACTATCCACAAGTTCACGCCAAAAGCCATCTACAAAAAATAAAAAAACAATTGCACCCATTACAAAATATTAATTGATTCAGACATAGGAAAAAGATTGTAATAATATGCATTTAAGGTAGAACAATCTATAAAAACCTTTTTTTGAAATACAATCATATGTATGTATCATGAAAGATTTATTCCAAACCTGATTTCAATTTACAAGAAATACAATTTTTAAGAGCATACCTCTTCATAAAATAAATTTTTATGAGTACAATGCTTTGGTTGTAAATTTATTTTAACTCTTCTTCATTCTCATTTTCCTAATCAAAGTAAAATGAATGAGTAATCTACGGGGTTATCTCCATAACCATATCATGCTTTCTTAATATGTTTACCACCCAAATGACCACCATATATGATGAAACAATGGCATCATTTGCAATGAAAAAGTTGAACATTTATTAGATGTTAACTCTCCCTATTTCGATTAAGTTCTAGGCGTTTACGGCTCTAACTCCAACCTACGTGTGATAATGACATTCCAACAGTTGTCACAGGTCCTATATGTCATGGGGAATCTGGTCGTGACATCCCTATGGTGGTTTCGAGGCTGTTTTGTATTTTCACTCTCTTAACGCCCTTTTTTTGTTAAGTTTAATGCGTTTTCAGCTCTAACTCCCAACCTACACGTGCTAATTGCATTATGTCTATTTTCACAAGTCCTATTTGTCACGGGAAGGTGTCCGTGACATCCGTACGATGATTCGGGGGCTGTTTCGCATTTTCACCCCCTTAACGCCATTTTTCGGTTAAGTTTAATACGTTTTCAGCTCTAACACCCAGCCTACATGTGTTAATTACATTCCGTCTATTATCACAGGTCCTATTTGTCACGGGGAAGGTGTCCGCAACATCCGTACAGTGGTTCTGGGGCTGTTTCGCTTTTTCAATCCCTTAACGCCCTTTTTCGATTAAGTTTAATGTGTTTTCGGCTCTAATCCCCAACTTACAGGTGCTAATTACATTTTGTCTATTGTCGCAGGTCCTATTAGTCACGGGGAAGGTGTCCGTGACATCCGTACGGTGGTTCGAGAACTGTTTTGCATTTTCGCCCCCCTCAATGCTTTTTTTCGGTTAAGGTTAATGCGTTTTCGGCTCTAACTCCCAACCTACACGTGCTAATTACATTCTTTCTATTGTCACAGGTCCTATTTGTCACAGGGAAGGTGTCCTTGACATCCGTACGGTGATTTGGGGGTTGTTTCACATTTTCACCTACTTAACGCCCTTTTTCGGTTAAGTTTAATGCGTTTTCAACTCTAACTCTCAACCTACATGTGCTAATTACATTCCGTCTATTGTCACAGGTCCTATTTGTCACGAGAAAGGTGTATATGACATCCGTATGGTGGTTCCAGGGCTGTTTCGCTATTTCAATCCCTTAACGCCCTTTTTCGGTTAAGTTTAATGCGTTTTCAGCTCTAACTCCCAACCTACACGTGATAATTACATTCTGTTTGTTGTCACAGGTCCTATTTGTCATGGGGAAGGTGTCTGTGACATCCGTATGGTGGTTCCAGGGTTGTTTCACTTTTTCGATCCCTTAACGCCCTTTTCCGATTAAGTTTAATGCGTTTTCAGCTCTAACTCCCAACCTGCACATGCTAATTACATTCCGTATGTTGTCACCAGTCTTATTAGTCACGGGTGTTAGGTTTTATTTCTTGGCAATCCTGTTTGACAAAACTCCTTTGAGTTGTAATTTTATTCGCATTTTTTATTTCAGTGAGACTATGAGTTTATTAGATGCGAATCCAACCCGAATTGTGCTTTTCAGAGAAGTTTGTGATGATAAAGCGTTCAAGATTGCCACTTCGCTGATTATGACGGGGATCGAGCTGCCTGTCCGAACATGTTATATTTTTCTAGTTTTTCTAGTTTTGGCCTTCCCGCTCGAGCGGGGAAAGGGACGCTCGAGCGGGGATTGGAAGCTCTCAGCATCTCTGTAGTCGCTTGAAAAAAATACTGGATGGTGTGATTCGCCGCTCGAGCGTGGAGCCTATATGAAATCATAGAATTTGAAGTCTCCGCTCGAGCGGGGAAAAGGGCGCTCGAGCGGACCGCGCGATCCAGATTTTCAGATTTGATTAAAGAGTTGGTTTTCTTCTGAAATTAGGATTGCTTTGGTTTTCTATAAATAGTTGGTTTTCTCCCAACACTAAAAAACTTCTCCAGATCTTATTTTTGGATCTTAAGGTTTAGATCTGGAGAGATTTTGCTAGTTTTCTTTGATGTTTTGATTGAGTCTTCAACTCATGTTCTAAAGAGAGTACATCAAAGGTTGTGTTTTGTTCTACAAAAGAGAGTGTTGTTCTTCAGTTGTGTATTCTGAAGAATTCGAGCCTGAAGCTGTGGTGGAATCAAGAGTGGCTCATCAGAAAGACAATTCCGTGGTGAAGATGGGGTTGGAAGAGGCACATAAAGGTTGGTTCAATTAGGCGTTGTGGATTCGCTAGGTAATTGAGAGTATACCTGTGTAATTCCTTTAAATCTTCTTAGTGGATTGTTCTTGTGGCTGTTGCCCGTGGTTTTTTTATCACAGTTGGAGGTGTCCAATTGTGGTTTTTTCCACGTAAAATCGTTGTGTCTTTTTGTCTTGATTGTTTGATTGGGATTGTTATATTATGCTTAAAATTGATACATAATCACAAATCAACATCTAGGGGATTTCTAGATTTTTTTCAACGGGGAATGTGTCCGTAACATCCATACAGTGGTTCGAGGGTTGTTTCGCATTTTCACCCCTTAACGCCCTTTTTCGGTTAAGGTTAATGCGTTTTCGGCTCTAACTCCCAACCTACACGTTCTAATTACATTCTGTCTATTGTCACAGATCTTATTTGTCATGGGAAAGGTGGCGGTGACATCCGTACG